AAATGATTTCATCCAGAATAGAAGACGAACAAGGTTAATAAACCGAAATGGAACTAGTACTTCTTACTTTTCTGCAATTGAGGTTTCTTTGACAAGAAAACAAGACCGGGCTATTATCCAAATAGTGGAACGAATAAAAAATAAACACATGTAATCAGTTAATATACCTGGTATTATATCAGTCCGATGGGGATTTTCATTCAATGGTTTTGGTAATGGAGATTTGTCTTTCTTTTTCTTTTTTCCTTTCGGTTTCTGCTGCTTGTCTGCTTCTAAATTATATCAAGGTAGAAAACAATCAGAACAAGTATCTATTTCAAAGAAAAATAAAACTCAGAAACTGATATCGATCTAAAAGAAAACTATAACTTAGTAACAGATATCGACTTCAAAGAGAACTAAAACTTGGTAAAAAGTATCAACTTCAACAAAAATTATAACTCAGAAACTCAGTCATGCAGTCACAGATATTGAATTCAAAAAGAAAACCAAAAACTGAGCAAAGCATATCAACTTCAAATCAAAGTTAAAAAAATTTCAAAGAAAATAAAATCAATATAACAGATATCGGCTTTAAAACAACTACCGGTAAAACTAAGTAACAAATATCAACTTCAATGAAAACTTAAACTCAATATAAGACACTAATGTGTAACATCAACGAAAAACTTATAAATTCACACTAAACATATACATAGCAGGTTGGCATGTCTAATTCTATTATGGACATTTTTCTAAGCAAAGATGACATAATATGGTCCGAAAACATAATGCAACGCAAAGCGCATTTTATTTTATGAACAAGGTACTATCATATTTTGTATGTACTAAGAATAGTTTTTTTTTGAAATCTATTTTAAAAAAACACATAAAGGTGAATTAAAGACAAGTAATAAATAAGTACATGTTAATTATTCAAAATATTCGGTGTATCATCGATATTTTTCATCTGATATCTAATTCATCGTCAATATGGCTTTGGCACCAAAATTCAATGACAGCTTTAATTAATTTAATCATCTATACCTTGCTGAAATTGTGCTTAATCGTGTAAGTAATTTCTCGGCACAGTTCCATATCGTTCAATTGCTAGCGACACCCCTGATCTTCATTGTCACTCGAGTACAGACTATAACCTGCATCTGGTCTTGGTGGCGGCTTCAATGACTTTTTCACCTCACTCTTTGTCCTAAAAATAGAACATTTCATTTGTATTAAAAATAAATCACACTGGCCTGCAGGAATTTTTCACCTTCAAAGGACAAGTATATCTGAAAATAGAAAAGTTATAATTCTATAAAAAATGAAAACAGATGTGATAAACTGGTGTTAAGAAACTTTCAAGTCAAACTTTTGCCCATAAATAAATAAATTGCAGTAAATTTTACAACAAAACAAGTTCGATGTCTTGTGGTTGGAATTACCATAGCAACAAACCTGTCACATAGGTAAAATTAATTTTTGTTGTGTTATTTTTTTCCAGAAAATCTCGAAAGACACTGAACTTGTAAATCACCTCATTTCAACACATTAATTGTTTTTTCCTAAATCGCAAATATCATCAGCATGAAATGGGAAATCTAATTATAAACACAGAGTTACAAAGATGCTATATGGAGATCAAGTAATGAGGTGGAAAGGATAGTCGTTAACCAGCTAATATCATACAGAAAAGGATAGTCTTTAATTTTCCATTTCTTGGGTAATTACACATGAAGATTTTCATTTTAAAAGCAGCACAAAGAAATTTTCATATCATATTATTTATAACATTAGACACAATAATGGCCCTGCAGTTTCACTTTTTCACTAGATGATAATGACAGGTCACAAGTTCAATTTTTTCTCCTGCACCTTTTGCACAATTTTTTTTGTTCACTTTTTTCTTTTTATTTTGGTTGGGTTTAAAGCCGCAAAAACTTAATATCTAAGTACATTTTGCTCAAGGTTAAATTTTCTTAAAATTTTCTTTGCTCATCTGAAGGCATAGTTACAGCTTTAGTAATGTTCACAACTTCCCATCTGATGGTGCTTTACACATAGCAAACTAAGGTTATCTCACCATTTAATTAATTATGTCTTGCTTTACTACATTGTTTCAACAATATCAATAGTCAGCTTATAGCGCACAAAATAATAGGAAGAAATAATAGTGAAGTTTTGAAAATATTATACTTTTCTTCATATATAACACGGTCACCAGTTCAGAAAGAAACAGGTTTATGTCCCAACAACCATTTTCATTGCTTCAAACAACAAAAAAGTTATTAAGTCCCTTTAAGACTTTGCTTTCTCAACAATAGCGCATTTAAGTGTACATGTCAGTACATTTTTAAATAAACTTTTAAGAGTTTTATACTTACAATTTCTTGCAAAATATTGCATTAATTGTTACTAATTATGCCTATGATACAAGTTTAATGCAATGTGAATAGTAGTTCATTGTGAGGCTATATACAATTTTATACATGTAGGTAGACAAGTTTGTTTGTATCATCCCCAACCCCACCCTTTCACCAGATAAGATGAAAAAAGCCTTCATTTAATTCATATAATAGGTTCTAGATAACCTCTATTCCAGTTTAGAAAGAGTCAATTTTCAAATAAGTTTTGAACTGAAAAAGATACAATAAGTAATAAGTTGTTAAATTTTGCTTACTTTATATAAATAGGTATTATTATTATGTACAATGTATTACACAAAATTAATTTGTACAAGTTAAAAGTAAATTTCAGGCCATTTTCTCATTGAAAAGGGGTATCACAATATAACAATACATAAAGTTTAAGAGTTTTGAAATTACTAAACTGTTATTCAACTTGAATCTGAAAAAAAACTTTGAATCTAAAAATAAACCATCTTACTTTTTTCCCTGTGGAGCTTTGACACCAGTCTTTACACTAACTGTTTTTGGTTTATTGAGCGTCTGAAAAAAAAATACAACAATGTATATATAATTTTAATTTTTTTATGGTCTTGTGCCCTTTAGGCACTAATGAGTCCTTGTCTGAAATGTAATGGAAATCAGGAAATCATTCTTGTGTAAATTAAAATTTTGTTTTAAAAATGATTTATGATAATTTGGATAATTTATGATCTTTGTAAAATGTATCCAATTAAAAAATGTAAAACACTCTCAATTTATTTCCAGGAACTAACCAGAAATTGATGTAAATGTTCAAGCAGAAATATGGACTGATTACAGCCTCTGTAGAAACCAAGCTATGACCCTCAAGTTCAAAGCCCACTACTTAATCCTTAAAAGGTGCATGCCTCCAGAAAAGTCGGAAGTATTTCATGAAATTTACTTTTGAGAAAAATGTGCTAAAATTTTAAGAAAAGTAAAATGTTTTAAGATTCAAGTAATGATTTACATGTTATATGCGATCAAGGACTGATTTTGCTGTATTTATCACCATATTTCTACTGTGTTACTAATGCAGTCAGGGCTAATTTAGCTTATTTTTACCCCTTTTTTTAAAATTAATGTGGATTGCAAGAGCCATTTGCAATTTGTAAATAATTTATTTAATCATTTTCTTAGTTCACTTCACAATATTTTTAATATATTTTTAAATTTTTCATGAAAATTGGCACGAATCTGGAGGCATGCTGCTTTAAGCTTCCTCTTAAATTCTTTCCTTAGATTTAAAAACTTTTAACTGATATCAAGTTATATCAACCTCTAGCCATTGTTGGTTACCAACAGTATATATTTCGTACATACTACACTATCTAGATGATGTAGCCTGCTCAGACAGAAAGTGATAACCCAGGGCTGTCAAATTATGAAAGTGAAAAACAGGATGAAAATCCCCCTTCTACAGGTACAGGTACTATTCTCCCAAAAAAACGCAGAGAGACAGCCCTGCAAGTATTTCTCATAAGTGTAGAGCTGTGACATACAGTCTGACTGTGACTGGCTGACTTACTAATTAATGTTCACCTTGATATCCCCAAATTAGTAATGGACAGTTCCAATAAATGGAATCTGGAAGTCCATTTAAAAAAATCGGCAGATTTAGGGTTAAGTCAGAATGGAAAAAGTCCTACCCACACCTGGCATATAGAGAATTAGACATTATAATTACATTGTATATTGCCTACCTTAGCTTTGGTACCAGCTGGTACTTGTTTTTTCGGAGCTGGTTTTGCAAACATCTTTTCTTTGGAATCATTAACTGAAATAAATGATTAAGATAAATGCATTATAAATTATTTCTGTAATTAAAATTGAAAGATGATTTGGGACTTAAAATAAGTGTTGAATAACGAAATAATGCTCCAGGAATAAGAAATTACTGTCAAGAGATTGCAATTCATGAGGAAGAAAAAAAATTAAAATTATCTTTATATCGAGATGACAATATATATGTTGATGAAATTGTATGATAAGATTACCAATGCACATTCATATTTATGCAAGATTAAAAAAAAAAACTACATAGAACCAAGTTTGTGTTAGTATAAACTTTGAGACATTTGAGTGTGATTTTTTAAAATTTTGTACAGCTTTTCTTGACTTGGATATTAAATGAAGAAATGAATAAACAATGAATCATCTACCATGTGTCAAAACCAGCAGAAGTTAAGCTTATCAATACCTTGAAGTAAAACTTTGTGAAATCGGCTTCAAAACAAGAAATGTTAATCTTTAAAACAATAACAGAAATTGAAATCATGTCTAAACTTGCAAATAATTTACTGTATACATCCTGATTGCTATATTTTTCCGACAATTTGAAAGATTTTCTTCTATGCCATTACCTTAACTTTAACCTGTGCGCCAACAATTTCTAAGAATTGGCAAAGGAAGCAAATATTACACACAATATATCTCTATCAACCAGTTAAATTTGGAACCATTTTTCAATAAAATTCAACTTCCGGTAATGTTTATTTACGTTTCCGGTTTCTGTTTAAAAATTCCAGTAAAGGGGAGATCACCACTGCAGAAAACAGATAGAACAACACTAAATTATTTCCTTACCTCTGTCAAGTAAGCTGTAAGAAACTTAACGTTGGCATAAAACAAAGAAACATTAGCTTCACGTATACTGTAACGTACATCACAAATAAAAACTGCGGTGATTAAAAGTTGATCGAATTAAGTTATGACTAACCCTACCCGTAATGTGCACTATATAAGTAAATGAACAAATTTGACAACTTAGGTCGGTTCTAAAATTTAATGGTCACTTGTACATTGTATGCAAAATTTCAACAAAATTTACTGTACAGTTTTCGGGTTATTGACTCTTCTGAACTATTGCCTGGATATTGAAAGGGCTCTTTTTCAGAAATAAGGAAACACTAAATGATCTATGATATTACTCTATGTTCCTACTGAATATTGTTAAGATACAAATAAAAACATTCAGCCACAGGCACTAGACACAATTAATTTACCTCTATATGCTCATAATACTATGTATTAGAATTTGACCATCCTCCAATTTAGAGAGACTCGTTTAAAAATGAGTATCTGTTTTCAACGTATCAAATACCGGTACTATATTTGTTATTAAATTAAGCATTATTTAACCAATAAATACCTATTATAAACACCTTTTAACTTCCAAAAGGGTCCGTCTGCGTTCGAACCAACAACCCTCGCTTTCAATTCTGTTAACAGTAATTCTAGCCTATTTGAATCCCTTTCAAAGCTAACGATAATGCATTAGGAGGTTTGCACCTTAAGGTATTTAGAAAGTACGAATTTTAGAAATTCTATTACAAAGTTACTATTTACAAAGTAAGCGATGTAAGTAAATTTCATATATTTTTATATATTGTTTAAAAATTGTTAAAAAAAAAATTGTTTAAAAATCGCTTCACAGAAACAGTATTGGAATAGCAGCAATATTTGAATTTGCTACGCAACCTAGATTTGTTAAAGTATTATACATGTTGAAGTACATAAACTGGTTTGGCACGCTCTTTGGACGTGGTGCAGTATTGAACTTGCTGTACAGCCTAGAGACTCGCTGCGCGTCTTTGACTTCCTGCGCTTTTTCTTGCTCAATTCTCATCACATTAAGTAGCTTTTTTTTATAAAGTGTCCAGCTTTTGTTCTTTAGGTCTGTTGCTACTTTCTTTTGTATCAAATAAGTTTACTAGTATGTTATATGTTTATGTAAGCTTGCTCTTTTTTAAGGCCTTTTTATACCCCGAAAAAAAAAAAGAAAAAAAAAAAAAAAAAAAGAAACAACGACAAAAAACAACAACAACAACAGATTATATGTTAAGTTATTTACTATTTATCATTTAAAACTCATTCAGCTCTGAAAACATAAAAAATATATAGGGACGTAGTTATTTTTTTTTCCTCAAAGGAACTTGTAAATGTGTTTTTTCAACTTCAACAACTCCCTACTTTTAAGTTGAGCGCAGTGGCCTGGGCGACAGCCTCGAATCAAAATAACAGTTTAATACTTATCATAAAATAAATATTTTATCATATGTTATTAATATGCAGTGAATTTAATCAAATCGTCAAGAAATAATGCTTATTAATTTATATCCTTTTTGGTCATTCTGGTCATCAGTCTGACAGGAACCGGAAGTGTTAAATTTTTTCAAATTCAAAGGTCAGATCTCTGCCAGATATGTATTTTATGAATACAGTTAGAAGGGGTCAGTGCAAGTTGGTACATAACGTTATTTAACATTATCTTGAGAAAAAGGGCATTTTATGAAATTTTAGTTTTAATTGACATATTTTAAAATTAATTCACTATTCTAACACGACCCGCACTTTTCCCTATTGAACATAGAAGAACCGAAAGTGTGTGTTATTTAATGCAACAAAGTCACTGTTGACCTTCTATATTTAGACATGTGACGTAATCATTATACATGTGACGAAACCACTAAAAATGCGACGCGCTGAAAATAATTACGGAAACAAATCAGGAACAACTTAGCTGAATATCAGTTACGGCAGCATTTATTTGTTGATGTCGTGTTAGAATCGAAATAATATACCAAAATCGGTGATTTTATCGCTTAATAACATCACTGTTTGTCGTTCGGATGCGCATCATTATATCACTCGGGCTACGCCCTCGTTATATAATTCCTCGCATCCGAACTCCAAACAGTGATGTTATTGTGCGATAAAATCACTGTTTGGGATATATTATTTCTTAAATAAGTAATGTTACTAATAAAAAACATTTGGAACCAAAGTTGTATGTTTTACACAATTTTTAACCATTTTATTAAAAGAAAAGTTTTATTTATCAAATGTGCTTATGCAAAAACAGTTCTAAATCCTATGGACCTTTGTGACTTTGAAACAATTGCATAAAGCTTTTTAGCTTAAAATTTACATATCTTTCAACTTTTCAATCAACTACCAACTAAAAGGTTATCATATAACTCTTAATCTATTTGCAGATCAATATTAAGCTTAATAAAACTTTAAGTGACATTATGCCCATTCAAGGGTATACAGTGAGTGAACAGGTGAAAGTCAAAATAAGTTTTTATATTGCCATAGTTCCTTTTAATTTAATAATTTACTTCATATAAACAATAAATAACATCCGGATCGAAACGGAATTTCTGTAAATATTAATTAGAACTTACCTGAAACGTTTAGTTTATAAAACAATTGGGGCAGTCTTTTTATATTTTAGGCAGATCCAAAACATTTCCCAAAATAAACTGTTAGTCAAAAACCATTTTAACAGTCAATCCTTTGAACTAAAAAGTCAATTCAGCTCAACCTGACTATGAAAATATTAGCATAATGTCACTTTAAGGCGCATCAAACAAATCATCAATTGTATAATTGCATTTGTCATACATTCTTTAGTTGATAAATTGATGAATATTTGATTGATTGATTAATTAATTGGTTAATTGACTGACTACAGGAAACAAAAACAATATGAGTTTTAAACATATATTCTTCATAGAAAGAAACAAAACGTTAACATTCAAACCAGTTCAAATATAAAGGTTACGAATAAAAGTTTTGTTTTCAATAATTCAGAATATATATTTCATGTGCTAACTGCAAACACAGAAAACTTTAAAAACATTACGTATAGGAACTGTAACAAACATATTTTCATTACACTGCATTAAAATAACCAAAGTTATAAATATTATAAAATACATAAGCTTTAGCTGCTCAGAATATGGATATATTCTATTAACTCGAAAAATCAAACTAAAGGTACCAAAACATGCCTTTGTCGCTAAAATGTAAAATATTTATACAATTAACAATAACTACCTAAAGCATGCTCAAATTTAAACATTTCCTCTTAAACAATAAATTCTATGGTGATATGCATGTATAGAAAATCTCTAAACAATCTCTTAAAAACTTAAATGTCTTCATGCAAAATGTTAAAAAGGGATAAATATGGTATTTGTGCACCAAAGGTTCTATCTCCATGAACACGAAATTCACATAATAACATTTGTAATAATTTTCACACAAATTAACATTTCTGCAAATTATTTTGACAAGACATAGAAAAAAACAATGTTGTTGTCAATTTCCATGCACATTTTGACATAAAATCAAAATATAATTACATTTTCATATATTTTTTTTCCGCCTAAAAACAAGAAAACATGGATAAATTAATGTAACGAAGGTACCAACTCCACATCTGGAGTTAGGACCTTTGTTAAGTTCCTCCAAGAACCATTTTCACCTTAAAAACAAAGAAGTGAGTAACAAAAGGAGGTTATTCTAATTCAAATAAACGTTCTTTAAATCACAAAGGTCCTAACTCAATTTTACCCTAAATTGGAGTTATATATAGGTACCTTCTTGCACTGACCCCTTCAAATTTATTATATTTATTATTATCATTTAATTTACATCAGTAGTGTTTAAGATGTTACAAGATCTTAATTTGCAAACTCTAGAGCAGGGACGTAACATCAGTTGCTGTTCTGTTACTCGCCTGCAAAAAATCCAACATAGCCAAATAACTCATTCAGTTAGAGCTACATTCTTTCTACCAGTTCTATATCAGTATTTCTTTTAAATCTTCTTACCTCAGTCTTGGTAATTTCCACCAACGTATAAATTCCTTCAAGAAGGATCAATTTTATATGATGGTTTCCGGTATCAATATATAACACGTACTAAGGTCATACATTGTACCTACCTCGGTATTACAATTTGTCCAATTATTTTTAAACAGTTTGACGGATTCACTTATAAAATTATAGATATTCATGTATCTTATTCCATCCATCTATACACCTATGTGGAAAGCTATATCTAATCGTTAGAAAAACAACATGTGTGTGCAATAAATGTTTCACAGAAAATGGGCTCTTTTTGGATGTAGATGATACTTGTAGTTGGCAAAAACACTTAGTTAGAAATGTTACGCATGAAGCAGATGTGTCTCAAGATCAGAATGCAGAGATACAGAAGAAGCTGTTACCTACATGTATTCACATACCGTGAAAGGGGTTTTGTAGCAGCAATGTATGACGCAAATGCATAATCAAGGTCATTAATTTGATATTGATGAAGTAATGTTTGAACAATCATTTACAGAGAAACGCGCGAAAGTGAAAAACTGATTGAAATGGCCAAAGAAAGAAAATATGATCAGGATTGAAGCGAACAATTTGCTACGTAAAATACAAGAACCAAAGCCAAGGAAAAGGATGCGTTCTTTATAAATACGTGACACTGACAAGACGCTAATTGCGGAATGTAAATCTAAATAAAATTTGTACTTTACGTGACAAATATTATAAAATCAGTTAGAATAGTTACAATGCATTGATTAATTAAGTACTTTACTTGTAATGTGTAAGCTATGGACTTTTAATTAATAACAATTCTGTAGTTATTAACAGGTAAAATTGCTCTTACCATAGTTTTGAATTTTATGTGACAAAATATATAAT